CTCGAGCTCTAGGGGCTCCAGCTCGAGGGCACGCAGGTTCTGCTCACGCAGTCGCTCCTCCTGGCGCCGTTTGAGGCGGCGGCGCAGGAAGCTGCAGAAGCAGCACAGTAGGACGATGAGCCCCCAGATAAGCCAGAAACCAGCGAAGCACGTTAGGAACGTGTAGGTGCCCTGGGACATAACCATGGCGGCGGCGCGGGCGGCGGGTCCTCGGCTGCTTCACTGGACACTGGGCTCCTCTACGTGGCCCCGGGCCCCCGCGCCACACACCCAGGCGCCGCCAGTGTCACTCGGGGACCTGGGGCTGGGGGCTGCCTGGGGAGGGGCTCAAGTCCTGCGCGCGCCGGCGGGGAGCAGCAGCATCGGTGCCCGCTCCTTCCCATGGTGCCGGCGGGCGCGCGGGCAGGCCTCACCCGGGGCCGCGCGGGACCTATGGGACAGACATAAGGCGCGGTGAAGGCGCGCTGCAGCCCCCGACGACTTCCCTGCTGGTGCCCTGCGCAGTCCCGGGGATGCCTTCTTTGCAGGAACCCCCACACACCCCGGGGGGCGGTGACGTCACCGAGGAGGGTGACGTCATACCCCGAGGTTTCCCGTGTAGGGTTTTCCCGGCTCTGAGATTCGGCCGCTGCGGCTGAGCCGAGGGAACCCCAGGCAGGCCGGCAGGGGGCGCGCGAAGGCCAGGCAGCCTCTGCGCAAGGGAGACTCACCACCCCCATCCCCCGGCACAGCTCGGTTGCCTGGCGGCGGGGAAAGGGTGGCCCACCTTCTAGAGCCCCACAAGCAACCATCGGCGCCCAGCTTCAGCCTTATGCATGTGCCTAGCAGCCCCTGGCACTCTAGGTCTTGTACCCGTTCCCATTCCTGGCTGCCCAAAGCACGGAACATCCCAGCCAGCACCGCGACCTTCGGTTGTTGCCGCTCTTGTAGCGGGGCTCGGGCGGGTGGTTCCTGGTTCCGGTTGCTACTGCGTGTCACCTGCCTTTGCGCCAAATACGCGCCGAGCGTGGGCTGTTCCCTCTTCCTTTCCTCTAGGCGCCTCCACCGCCAGATCCCAGTTCCTTCGCCTCCTACCCCTGCGCAGCCCCACTTGGCCCTGCCCTCCTTCTAGCTCCAGGACGTTGGGTCGCTTCTCCTCAATTCCTTTCCCTTTCCGCGGAGGGGAGGAAAAGTAGCTGTCTTCGGTACCACCTGGTCCCGCATCACTCCAGATGGGCACCTCTCGTTCCAACTCCCCTCCACAGCCAGGGTTGAGAGGGGAACCTTGCATTCCTAAGAGGTATGTAGGAGGGAACTCTGACTGCGGAGTGACAGATGGCAAGCGAGTGTTCACCACCCCCGCAGAACAGAAATGAGCCCTTCTTGAATGCCTTATACCCAGGGGCTTTCAAATACAACCCTTTGGGGTAACTAATTATTCCTATTTTATAGATAAGGAAGGGGGAAGCAATTAGCTGTGTAGATGGCAGGTGGCAGTGCTGTAATTTAAGTCCAAGCCTGGCTACAAAATCCTAGCCTGAGGTGGAAGAGTGCTGCTGCCTGCACTACATTATGAGGTCTCTTGGACACCCCTATCCTCAGCATGTCCAAGGAACACACACATTCAGCTCTGGGGGCCATGGTGGGCCTGAGCCCCAAGCTGGGTGCTCAACATCAAGCCATCTCAGACTGGTCTGGCAGCAAACGGGAAAAGCCAGGGCACAGGCCACCCCAAGAGGGTTCCTGTCAGACTACACCGCTGCCTTGTGCCATGTGCCACTTGGTGCCTGTGCCAGTCCCTTTCTCCTGGGCCTGCATTCCAGAACAGACAATGGCAGGAACAATAGCTCCACCCACCCCCTCCAGAACCTTGCCATGAGGCTGCCATGGTGACGAAGCCCAGATAAAAACACGATGCTGCCAGTCACTGGGAGTTAATTAAATCTGTTGTTCTCCTTTTCCTGAGCCCGCAGGAATTTTCAGGAATGCTCAGAGGAAGTTGGTACTAACTAGGAGGCCCCTTGGCCTGCAAACAGAAACAGCTCTGGGTCAGAAAAGGCACTTCTGAGGCTGGAGGTGATGTTTAGCTGAATTAGAGACAGAGATACCTGCCAAGGCCTGTCTACTGCGTGTCAGGCCTTGTTCTAGGCCCTTTCCATGCAGAATCTTGTGTGATCTTCAACAGTGCTTTCTCAGTGGGGGGTCCATTTGACAAATGAGACCAGCTCAGAAAGGGAAATGAACTTGCCCCAGGTCACACAGCTAATAAGGGAGGAGCTAAGATTTAGCCTGAGTCTGAATCCAAAGTCAGTGTCAAAACACCTTCCCCTACATGACAACTGAGCAGTACATGAAAAGCCTGGTGCACATAAGCATGTACATGAGGACTTGGCAGCCACGGGGCCAATGGGCAGACTGGCCAGCTTATAGCCAAAATGTGCCTTCCTGTTCCTTCCCACCAAGGCCCTGGCCCTTCTGGCCATCAGCCCTCAGCTCAAGAGTGGGAAAAGGCTACAGGGTGGAGGAGAAACGGGATGGCAGCTCCAGCGTTAACCAGGAAAAAAACCACAGAGACCCTGCCCTCAGGGGCCTAGAGCAGCTGGCTGGGCATTAGGACAGACTGGGGCAGGCTATACCCAAGACCAGCTGAGTGCCATTGTGCCCTCCAGGAGGCAGGAACCACTGTTGCATTTTAGACTAGGCCACTGTGTGTCCATGAGAGGAAGTCTTTCAATTGAGCTGTCCCTCTGACCCCACACTGGCACCAACACTCCAGTGTGGGACCCTGCTTGAGGCCTGCCTCCTGCCCAGTATCTGGCCCACAGGAATTACTCAGTCCATCTCATCTAATCCACAGTAGGTGCTCAATCCATCATCATCAAGACATTTGTGCAGGCTTTTCTAAAGCTGCTTCCTGATCAGGCCAAGTTGCTCAAGGGCTCCCCAAGGAGCTGTCCCTTTGCTCCTTGGGCCTCTGTCATGCTTCCAGAAGACACTGCTGTAGCCTCTTGTACAAAGCCACTCATCTTCCCCAGCCCCTCCAGACGGTTCATGGCAAATACCTGCTCTGTGTCCTACTCCAGCTGTTAGGAGTGATGCATTCAGATGGACTCATCCTTAAATCTGCCATTTTATGATTTGTTTTGTTTCTTCTTTCTCTTTTCTTACCTTTTTGTGAGTTATCTGAACATTTTTTAGGATTCCACCTTGATTTATTTGTAGAGTGAGCATATTGCTTTGTACAGTTTTCTGATGGCACATGCTCACCAGGAGCACAGCAGAGGGATGAAAGAGAGGCCCAAGGCAGTGAGTTTCCTAAACTCCATGTCCCTTCAGTCTCCCCCTCAATGACTATGGTGAAGATTGAGCTAATCCATGCAAAGGGTTTGGAGATGCTCAACAGAGATGTGTGTGTCCCCAAGGTGCTCCCCACCCACCCACAGGTCGTTCTCGCAATCATCCTGAGAACGCGTTAGCATTTTTCTCATTTGACAGATGAGAACACTTAGCTCAAAGAGATTAAATGATACCCAAGGTCACCTAGATCTCTCATTCTAAGCCTAGTGCACCCCTACAGGCACCTACCACACTGCCTCCCTGCATGAAAAACCCCAGCTCCCCAGCCTCAGACCCCAAAGATCTGCTACTGGTCCTTTATCTCAGCAAAGGACCCAACAGTTACATTATCCACCAGATCCTGTTGTTTTTACTCACAGTGTAATGTGTCTTCATCTGTCCACTCCCTCTGGTCCCCCTGCCACTGTCTTGGCCAGACCACCAGCATTTCTCACGTAGGCCCATATTGCCATGGTTGCCACCACTCTCTCTACTTCTGCGCTCTGTTCCTGCCCAGTCTACCTACTCTCCACATTGCCCATTTTCCCCAGGCCCTCTCTGGCCTGAACCCTCCAGCAACTCCCCGTTGCCTCAGGAGACAGCTCAGCTCTTTAACACAGTTAGACGGGAGCCTCTCAAACTGGAGTAAGCATCAGAGCTACATGGAGGGCTTGTTAAAACAGAGTTCTGGGCTTCACTCCCAGGTCTGGGGTGGGGCCTGAGAGCTGGCATTTCTAACAAATTTCCAGCAAGTGCTGGTGTTGCTGGTCCAGGGAGCACACTTTGAGAACCACTGACCTAGATTATGGACTCTAAGATGAGCTTCTGTCAAGGCCCCTTCAGCCTTACCTCTCAGGGCTCCATGTTTCCATTCTGCACTGCCTAAAGTTCTGCTTTCTCTCTCCAGGGGGCCTGCAATACAGCCTCACTGCTCGTGCCCCAGCGCTCACTACTCAGCCTCATGGCCTCACTTGTCACTTCCCTGGATAAGTCAGCCCTGAACCACCTCACCCCCCCAGGCTGGATGAGAAGCCCAAAGATATTACAGTGTTCTCTAGTGGCCTGTGTCCAACACTAGAGGCTGCATCTGTCTTGATCACCTGGCACACAGTAGCTAAAAAAACACTTGCTGAAGGAGTGATTGCAGGTGTCCAGTTACCTATTTGGTCTCTTAGCCATAGGGACAAGGAACACCTCAAGAGCCGGGTCTGCATCCAATTCATTCCTGGGAAATGTTGGCCATTCATCAAAATGTCACTGGGAAAGAGGCCATCACCCAGCTCTGGGTCCTTGCAGGTTGTTTTATAAGCAAGTCGAGGACCATACATCTGAGTAAATAAGAGGAAAAGACTACATGGAAGCATTTGCCAGGATCTCTGGGGTGGGCAGAGGAAATCCCAGGCAGCTGGGGTTCTGGGTCATGAGTTTCCCTACATGTGAGGCCAGAGCTACTAGCCAAGTGAAGGAAGAGGGACTAAGACCAGGGGACAGAGGCGGGAGGGAGGACAGTGTGTGTGAGGAGTGAAGGTGGGGTGGAAGAAGGCTGCTGTAGGTGGTGGGGCAGGTAGAAGAGGGTAAAGGGGAGATAAATGGTGATGGAAGGAGACTAGACTTTGGGTGGTGAACACAATATAATATACAGATGATATATTATAGAATTGTACACTTGAAACCTAATAATTTTATTAACCAATGTAACCCCAATAAATTCAATTTAAAAAATGCTTTATAATAAAAAAAAGAGAAGGAAGTGGCTGCTAACCTGTCCTGTGTGCCCTGCACATGCCAGGCTCACTGCTAGCCTCTTTACATTCAGTGACGCCCAGAAGGTGCTGCTGCCATCCCCATTCTACAGACAAGGAGCTGGGGCCAGCTCAGGCCCACACTGTGAAGCCCAGGTGACTGCAAAGTCTACTGTCCTGGCAGGAAGGGCATTTCAGGAAGGTACTGGTGACATTTTTACACTCCTCCCACACCAAGACAGATGAACTCAGGCCAGAGAGAGATGATGGGAATTGTCCCAGCTGCCAAAGTCAGCCAGGCATGGAGCTGGCAGAACCTCCTTTCTAGCTAGGCCAAGGTACTGGCTTGGCACCCATTACCTGTAGATAGCATCTCTGTGACCCAACCCTGGCACTGG